TGTCTTCCTCTCTTGGGCGCTATTCTCCACTCCTCCGCAGTCCCGGTCCCACCTGGGATCTCCAAGAGGTCCAGGAGCAGCTCAGGCAGAGGGGTGGAGATGGGACACGCAAAGCCCAGACCCGCCAAGGAGCTCCGCAAGCCCGAGATGGCGCCGTAGTACGCCAGGCGTCCCGCCTGGCGATGCCAGGCGAACATGGGAAACTGCCAAGAGGGTGGCCGGTTGCGGCCGTTGCGGGTATAGACCCCAACTGTAATACTCTTCCAGATGTGCTTTCTACCCGAATATCCTCGAACTACTGCTGGTTCAGGAACTTTCTTTGTTCATCTTTTAGGACATCTAGCCTCCAGAAGAAGAACTTTGCTGAAGCGATTGAACACGGCTTCTGACGGTTGATGGATTGTGGCAATGACCGTGCATCCTTGCTCAGCGATCTGCTTCACATCCCTCATCAATGAGTCAGACATCTTGGAGTCGAGGCCGCCTGAGACGAGTTAGAAGTACACTCCAAAAACTGAGTGTTCCTCGAGTGGGTAGAAATCTTGGAGACTTTCCCATGTGTCTTAGTGCCACCGGACAGACGTACAATTCCATGTGGCATGCGATTTCCGTATGCCCAACGCTGCACATCACGGGTATGCCGCGCCCATAGGTTTCCGGCTGCAGATTTAAACTGAAACAATCGGGCAGAATCTTTCGGGAGGATGCTTCCTCCAGGAACGCAAGAGAAAAAGGAATGGAGAACGAAGGAAAGATGGTGTGAGGCCACCTTAAAGGTCAAGTCAGATCTTGCGACCTAAGAAGTCGGAGGGAAACTTGCAGATTTTGTGGGAAGGGCGCAGAAGGGCGAAAAGCTGCGCGCAATTCCTTGCACCAAGAACACAAGATCCGGAAGGCAAGGGAGCCACAAGACCCTCAGAAGCCGCCCCAAAGCCACAAAGAAATGCCCAAGTTGCCAAGAGTAATTCCCTCAGAATTCAGAGAATATCCCTAGAAGGAACCTCCGAATTTTGTCTTCGGCGTCCAAGGCACTGGTAGGCTCGTCCATCAGCAGCAAGGAGGGATTCCCCAACAAGGACAACCCCACGTTTGTGCGCTTCCGCTCGCCGCCGCTGATGCCGCGCACCAGCCCAGGAGAGCCCACCACAGTGTCTGCACACTTGATCAGGTTCAGCTTCTCCAAGACACCTGCTGGCGCCCCCCACCCCAGGATACCCCAGGCCTCAGACGCCGATCAGCAGTATTTAGCAGCAGCAGCAGTAGTAGTGGCAGCAGGAGGAGTAGTAGTTGTAGTAGTGGTAATAGTCGTCGTCGTCGTCAACGTCGTCGTGGCGGTGGCGGTGGCGGTGGCGGTGGTGGTGGTGGTGGTCATTGTAGTTGTAGTAGTTGGTCGTAGTAGCTGTTGTGGCCGCAGTGGTAGTGGCAGTGGTAGTGGTAGTGGCAGTGGAAGTGGAAGTGGAAGTGGAATTGGAAGAAGAAGAAGAGAAGAAGAAGTAGTAGTCGTCGTCGTCGTTGTAGTTGCAGGGGGAGTAGTAGTAGTAGTAGTAGTAGTAGTAGTAGTTATTGTTGTTGTAGGGGCTTATGGCTTATGGAAAAGGTCTGAACAAAGACTTTGTGAGTGCAAAGGGGCAGCTCTGTCTGACGTCAGACGCGACAAAACTGCTGAAACACAGCACGAGTGTGGAAAACCACTGGCCATCCCAACACCTTTCAAACTCCAAGCAACGTGCCTAGACTCAAGACGATTGAGGGCAACATCCACTGATCTGATAATCTTACCATGTTCTCTTTCCCAATGGCGTCAAAGGGCTCCAAGCATCAAGACACCAACCGCAAGACAGAAACAGTCCACGGTCTACACTCCGCGTGGATCAACGTAAGCACAACAAGTGGCAACTACTCCGGCCTTGCACCAGCTCGCTGCGAGCCTCCGTGGAGAGTTTGGGCCAAATGAACGCCGCAGCGAAGCCCAGATTTTCCCGACAGGTCAAGGTCTCGTACATGATGTCCTCACGGTGTGCAGGGCGCGAGAGTTCGTTGGTTGGATAATGGATGGAATTGGATGGATAGTTCTTTGAAGAATGTTAGTGACAGGCCCGTTGTAACGTTGTAATGGTAAAGCCTGCACTGCTTCTCGGATGTTCAACCTCCCCAACTTCCCCGAACTGCGCGTCTTATTCTGTGGGATGTTAAACAAACCTCCTCACTGGTAAGACCCCATTCGTCCTCCTGAGTGACATAGCCCAAACTGCTCCTCACCTGCAGCACAGGCAAGAAACACCACTTAACCACATTGGTCTGCCCATCTGAGCAGTGAAAGTAATCGCAACGTCGTCGGCTTGCAAAAGCAACATGCACATCCTAGCCCCAGGTTGACCATGTTTGCTGCGTCTGTTCCCATCCTTGTCGCCGCAATCTCACCACACAAGTCTCCCAACACCCCTGAGGCCCTGGCCTGTTGAAAGGCTTTGCCGCCATAGCTAATCCTCCCACCAGAATCCCCACTCCGGCCAGCCAAGGCATTCAGCAAGGTGGTCTTTCCGGCGCCTGAGGGGCCCATCAAGGCCACCAAGTCTCCACTGGACACGGCACAGCTGATGTGCTGCAGCAAACGCTTTCCGAAGCTGGTGGTGATGGACAAATCATCCACAACCACCTGGGGAGAAGCAAAGCATGGACGGCTGGGGGTCCCAAATGTCTGATGATTGGCTCGGGAGGCCTATCCGTTCAATGTGTTTGTTGCGCTTCGCTTTGGGCTCAAACGCTGCACCCCCTCTGCAATATTCTATTTGGACGATGCGAGGGCCTCCATGCCGCACTGCCAAGCTTCTTTGGCCATGCCGACGGCCGGTGTTAAAAAGGCTCTTGATTGAAGCAACGGACATTACACATATTGAAACAAAAGCAATACAGTATATTATGTGTTTATGTATGTACTGAATAAGTATTCTAAAAACATACCTTCAACTGGCCAGTTGCAACCCATGTGGGAGGACAGTAGGCCTAGATAGAGGGTATGGGGACTTCAAGGTGCAAACTAGGCCAGGCCATTGTCAACTTGTCACAGTGCTACCCTACGATACCAGGCAGGGTGTTGATGTAAGCATCCACAGAAAATGGCACACCTTGATCACATCCAACCTTCTCAAAATTTGGATGAAAGACGCACTCTGAGTCCAAATAAAAGGGAATTCTGCGGCCAGCCCTGCCAGAGAGCCCTCCACAAAACCTGCCAGTCGGTGGCCACGAGTCTCCCACATCCGTTTCCGGGAAAAGACCGGGCGGGACGTCGCTCACAGACCAGGCTCCCGGCTCCCTTGCAATTGTCAAGCCGAGGCCTCAGCTCAACATGTGCGCTCCAACGAACGGTCCAAAAAGCCCGGCAACCCGTTGAATGCAAAGCTGACTAGCAGTTCCACACCACGATCAGCGTTGGCTCACCCGGAGAAAAGAAGTGCCTGTATGCGCTAGTTTAGCCAAGAGCCTGAAAATCTGCACCATGGTGAATGTGTAGATTCAACATGAATCACGTTGAGCCATGACACCTTGCAGATTCACAGGTCAAGTTCTTGCGAATCCACCTGTCTGCACCTGTTCACCACCTGGGGCTCTCAGATCCGCACACCTCCTCTTCATCTGACAATTTCCCCTCCTGGAGCCAGAGATGAGCCAGCGCCAGGACTGTCTCTTCGTCATGTTTCCATATCTGCACACCCGTCGCTGGCATCCCACAAGGCCAAAAACTGCCACTCCCCCGACTCACCCAGAGGCCGACTGGCCACCGGTCCTTACGGCGGTTCACCGCCGCCTCATGCAAATGGTTGTTGTTCGTAAACCTGCATGGAGCCACCGACCGCCCTGACCAGAAAGGGGAGAGCCACGGAACATTCAGTCGGGATGATCTTGGTTCTGCTTCGGACTCCACGGAGAGGCAAGTCTGGAAAGGCCCCTCCCTTCCTCCCTTTCTCTTTCTCTTTCTCTTTCTCTTTCTCTTTCTCTTTCTCTTTC